CAAGCACCGGATGCTTTGCTAGAGGCCAGCTCCGGCTGAGCAGGCGGTCAGCAACTTCGGCGTGCCACGCGAGGAGGACCTGGCGTCCCCGCCGCGGCGCGCTCGTCGGTGAGCACCTCGACCAGCGCGGCGCTTGGTGAGACTTTGCCACGACGCTGCCTCTCAGCTGATACAAAGCTTGCCCACTCTGCAGTCTACCCCTTCCCTGCCTCCTCAGCCTCCTCCCTCTCCCCCTCCCCTTCAATATGCTGCCAACGCAGGGCTGGCTCCACCCAACCTCCTCCTCCCTCTTCCTCCGGCAAGCCAATGCGTGGGCGGATCCCTGAGCGGTCTGGGCGTTCGATCCTTCGGCGACGGACGCTCCGGGCAGAGCACAGCGCCGAGCTGCGTCCGCCACGAGAGCCGCTCAACCTTCGCAGCTCGCCAGTGACTGGCGCCCGGCACGCTCGAGCCAAGGCTGGCGCCTTCAATCTCCTGCAGGGCTGGCCCGAAACGGGTCCAGGCAAGGTCGGGGGGTCAGGCAAGTGATGGTGCAAGCCCGGGCTTCTCCCCCTCCTGCGCCAGAGGCAATCATAGCCAGAGCGTATCCTCTGACTTCCTTACCTCGCCATCGCTCGGACGTCCATTGCCCGTGCGTGCTTCAGTTTCGTGCGTGTTTTTCTTCGCAAGATGATCCAAGCTGCTCTTCGATGGTCCTCACCAAAAGAACATGCACACGTTCGAGCGATGCCAAGCTACCTGCCCAGGCTGGTGGGCGACTCAACCCGACCGAGGAGAATGGGCTCGGATGAACAACACTTAGCGCGCACAGAGCAAAGATGCGAGGAAAGCGTCGCCTCCATCGTCGCAGGCATCGTCCACATCTTCAACCGCAGCTGCGGCGGCAGTAGCGCTGACACTGCGCACGGAGGGGCGATGAAGCGAGGGAGAAGGCAAGGCCGCGAGCAACACTTGCCCAATAAAACATGCCCATCTCTGCTCGGGTTGCTACGGCATCGGATCGCGCTCGCACATCAACTTAGAGCACTCACGTAGAGCTGCCTGCAGGGTGCCACAGGTCGCTCACACTGGGACCTGATCATGCCGCATTGGAGGGCAGCCTCGCTGGATTATCAGCATGGGATGACTCAGACGCCCTGGGTTTGAAGAGGTCCGTCATTCTGGTCGCAACGGTGGGCTGCCAGGGACGCATATCAAAATTACTCCCTCGCCACATCGCCGAGTACACAAGCAGACATGCGTGCACTCAGGCAGAAATTTAGCCACATCGACACGCAGTCATGCGCTGGTGTGCGCGCACACCCACAGAAACATACATGCACGCAAGGCAAGGCACACGCACACGAATACGTTCACATCACGCAGACACACGCAGACACACACGCGGACAGATGCGACGCGTAGAACAACATGTGCACATCACGAGCTTGTACGACAACTGGTGTTCTGGGCACCCTGGGCGGGATCGCAACCGAGATTGGAATGACTCGCCAAGCCACACTGGACGGGCAAATTCGTGTCGCGACGACGTCGGCGTTGGTTTCTGACACCGCGTGGATCGGTCAACCTTCGGAGCACCGTGTGCGAGGCGAGACTGTGTTCATCTCCACCGCTTGGGAACCGACGTCCTGGTGCCCCAGCGGGCGGTGGATATGGATATATTCTGGCCCCCGAGGGCCCGAATATATCCATATCCACCGCCTGTGAAGTCCGCGAGGATCGACCCCCCAGGCGGTGGATATGGATAACTCCCCGCCTCAAGGCCGCAACCGCACTGGCCCAAATCGCCCCCGTTGGGGGGGGGGTCGCAATGCCCCCCGCGTCTCTTTCAGAGATTCGTTCGAATATGGCTTGATGCGCGGCCGAGCGCTGCTGGCTCGCCCATGCCAGCTGGAGCCGCTCAGGTCGATGGTGACCATTGCCGAGGCGAGCAAGGGTACAGAGGCAAGAGATCCTTGCGACGTGCAGTACGACGAGCACTACTTCACGGCTTTTGCTGGTATAAGGGTCGTGCTTATTATGGCGGCGAGGTAGTCAAGATCGCACACTTTGAGATTGTCTCGGCCGTGCATCGTGAATTGGGATCCCTGTCACGTGGTCGAGAGTGGCTTCCTGATCTTCCTATCTTAGATGATGATGTTCCGCAACTCCGCCGTAGACATCAACGCCGACAGGATCAACGGAGAGAACTCAGAGTTTGGACGTACAATTGCGAATCTTTGAAGGCTGTGGGCAGGCTAGCGGAGATTTTGACCATAGCTGAGATGCAGAACGTTGACGTGGTCTGCCTGCAAGGCACATGCTTGCCATTGACGGCGACGTGGATGTGTAGATCGTATATGATATTCTCTAGTGGCAAGTCTCATCTTCACGCGCATGATGGGGTTATCACGGCGATAAGTATGAAGGTATGTGACGTCTCACAAGTTCGCTGTGTTCATGATTGGTTGCCTGGCAAGCTTTACGGACTTATGATCAGATGTGGGCGTGGAGATAGTGAAGTGTGTCACTACATCTTGAATGGCAATGCACCCGTGGATTGCTTCCCTGCTGGACCTAATGCTGACCGACAAGCAGCACGTGCAGAAGTTATCAAATCTATTGGCACTTTCTGGAACAAATGTGACCAAGCTGTGAAAACTATTATGCATCATGGACGCTGTGCTCTGATCATGTGTATTGACGCGAATGGTCAGGTCAAGCCGGCGTTACCTTGCATCGGATATGGTGGGTCTGCTGAGAGACTTCAGAGCGCTGTCCGTCATGGCTATAAGAATTTGAATGCTGATGCTCTTCTGGACCTCGTTCGTGACTATGATCTTCGTGTATTGAACTCTTTTGGATCTGCATCTGTGGCTGATGGCACTTGGCAACATCCAGGCACTAAGAAATGGCATCGGGTTGATTTTATTATTGCTAAGGCAGTGGGTAACAGGTATCGAACTGCTCAGGTGCTGAAGTCGTGTGCATTGTCTCTGGGAGGTGTGCGTGACCATCGTGTTGTTCAGGCCGCTTTCTCTCTTGGAGCTTTGTACAAACGACGAGCTAGAGGTGAAGTACTGCAGCGTTGGGACCGACAACTGTTGCTCAACACACTTTCTGAAGATAGGGACTCTGATGATGGGGCTCGGCGGGCTGTTCAGTTTCGTGCTCAAGTGGATCAGCTTTTTCACGATCGACATGATGGTGCTCTACTTCGACCATGGGAACAAGTGTGTGGCAATGGCCTTGCTTTTGATAGTACTACCTCTTACTTGGCTGCACTTGAAGCTGTTGTTGTAGATGCTGCTGCTCCGATCTTTGTGACGGACCCGAAGTCGAAATCCCGTAAATCTAACTGGAACTTTTCTGATGAGACGATTTCTTTGATTCAACGTAAGCATGCACTTCAGAAGCGACTGGCTGTTATTCAATGCCGACGTGCTGGTTCTCAACAGGCAATGCATGCGATGGCGAGGTGGAAGCAGGCTCGACGCGACGCAAAGCTGGCGATTAAGTCCGAGAAGCAAAAGTCTGTTGAAGCTCTTTGTGAGGAAGCTGAGGAGGCCGCACGCAAGCAAGATATACGAGGCGTATACAAGTTGGTTCATAGATTAGCTCCAAAACCGTCTGCTCCGATGGTGACCGTGTGGGATGGGAACTCGCCGCGTATGGATCTTGATCATGAGATGGATGTTCGTACCCAAGCTTTGATTCAGATATTTGAAGGTTCGGAACTTCCACTTGATGAGCGTCCCCCCTTGGCTTGCCAGTGTACGGTTGGAGAGAACGATAAGCTGCAGCATCTTATTGACATCACGCAGGAGACGGTTGAGAAAGCTGTTGGATCTTTGCCGAATAACAAAGCTGCTCCAGGATTACGGATTGCGCAGGAGTCTGAGGAGAGTGGGACCTTCTCGGTGGGTGCCGTTGCTGAACTATGGAAGCTTGCTCTCCCAGTGGTGGCACTACCGCTTACATATCTCGTTGCCGCTGTTGGTTCTCGTTTGGAGATTCCTACACAATGTAAGGACGGGGAGACTGTGTTTCTGCGAAAACCAAAAGGTGACGGGTCTAATGCTGCCAATCATTATCGTACTCTGAATATCCTGGCGCACTTGGGTAAGATGGTCTCTAGATTAGCTTTATCACCGTTTCGATATGGGTTGGCTGCCGCTGTATCTGTATTCCAATTTGGGGCTCTTCCTGGACGTGCTACTCGGGACGCTCTGGCATGTTTTGATGAAATACTTCGGAGGTTCAGGAGTTCCAGGAAATCTAAGCGTAAGGTGTCTATCTTGGCGGCTATCTTGTTTGACCTGGAGAAGGCCTTTGATAAGTTGGCCAGGGATGATATCTGGAGGGCTCTTGAGGATCTCGCTCTTTCCAAGGGGTTAGCTCTATTTGAAGAACGGCTCCACGAATATTAAGACTCAGGAGGTTATTCGGAGGCTCTGGATTCAGAAAGGGGTGCGGCAGGGCAGTGTGGAGGGGCCGGCTCTTTTTCTCGCTGTGTATGAGTTCGTGGTTAGAGATATCCAGAAGGCTCGTGACTCTGCTGGCTATGACCTCATTGGCGTGTGTTTCGACCCGACCCTCACTAAGAGACGCGAGCACGGCACGTTGTTGAGCACCGACCCTGATCTTGTCTCTCTGGACGCGTCGCAGTTGGAGTTTGTCGACGACCTTGTCTCCTTCTTGGAGGTGGCGGACTTCGGGGTTATCGAGGATTTCGTTTCGCTCGTCCAGAGTACGGTCCTGAAAAAACAGATGAATGTCAATGTTAGCAAAACCGAGGCTTTGTTCGTGGTCTGCGGGGAGGGCTCCAAGAAGCTCAACACTGATATCCAAAAAAAGCAGGTGAAGTTTGGTACGGGGGACTCGGCCTTTTCGGCCACACCGTCGGTCAAATATGTGGGGGCACAGGTGCGAGGGGACGGTAGGTCTTTCGAGGAGGTCACTACTCGTATATCTAAGGCCACAGCCGCTCATGCTCGACTTACCCTGCGAGTTTGGCGTAGCACATCCATATCTACCGTATTGAAGATTCGGCTTTGGAATTCCCTTGTCCGCTCTATCTTACTGTATGCGACCGAGGTGTGTGTCATGACGGCTTCCGACGAGGCCCGCGTGGAACGTTTCCAGACCAAAAAGCTTCGTCATCTTTTGAAGAGCCCTGTGCACCTTGAACGAGTTTCGAACCCTGTCATTCGTGAACGAGCACGTGTAGATAGTATCCATACTACACTTGTGTATCGACGTCTGTGCTGGTGGAGACATGTTCTGCGACCCGTGTTCTTAGAGGACCCTGCTGGTGCCCCACATGCATATGATGATTCCGTGGGTGTCCGTGCTATAATGTTTGGAAGGTTATCTTTTGAACCTGACGGAGGTGGAGGTGGGAGTGCTGTTAGTGATCGTATGGCCTCTCTATGTCGTGATCTTCGTGAGCTATTACCCTCTCTTCCTGAGGCCCGCAGATTAGAATTGTGTCAGAGTGCTGGTCTCGATGCCGTCGGTGATTTTGTCGAGCGAGAGTGGCTTCGGGAGTTGGCACTTATGCCGAAAGCGTATCTTAAGTGTGTTCTGTCCTTTCATTCTCGTCATGATGTAAGTGACTCTGAAGTTGTTCGTCCGCTTGTGTGTCCTGAGTGTGGTGAAGTCTGTAATGGTGAACGTGGGCTAGCTATACATCGAGCTCGTAAGCATAGTGTTCGTCCGCTCGCTGATGTGTCTGATCTGAAGTGCCCACTGTGCCAGCAGCTGTTCACACGTCGTGACACTTTATTGCGCCATGTTCGTTATCGTTGTACTGCATCTTTGGAGGCTCGGGCTCAAACCTTACAAGTATCAGTGGATCAGATTTCCCCGGCCTCCCGTGCGCCCCCTGCTGTGCTTCGGCGGCCCGCGGCGGTGCTCAGACGTCCTGCAGCTGCTCGACCCGACGAAGATGGCGATGTTCGGAGAGTGGGACGCGTCGCTGGCTGCAGGGAGCGAGGGCCCCAGGCGCAAGCGAGAGGGCGAGGTCGAGGGAGAGGCAAAGGAAAAGGACGAGGACGAGGTTCCGACCAACTTGAAGAAGTTGGTGATGGCGATGGCGAAGTGTACGATGCAGCTCGTGGACGAGAATCGCAACCACGCCAGGATCGACAATCTCGTGATTCAGTCGTCGTCGGACGGGGCGTACGCCAAGATGATGCGCAAGCTGGAGACGGACTACGCAAAGGAGGGAAAAACGGCAAGGGCAAAAGCAGAGGAAGAAAGCAATGACTTTCGTGGTCACCCGCACGGAAAGAAACCTGATGTGATTGGACGTGGCTTGATGGTTCGCTTGTCTCAGTTCCTTCAGCAGCCTGGGATGATGGACAAAGTCAATGCTACGGGATCAGCGTTGCAAGCAATCAAAAATGTCATTGCCTTTGGTGAGCGTGCTAAAGTTGACACTACGATACGTTGTCAGCGAGCCCTTCGAGTTGAAGTGGAAGTTCATGGTGTGGCAATGGATAAGTGGATCTTCTTCTTCCCTCGGGAGGCTGTGATGAATGACCTTCGTATCTTGATGATCGACAGCACGCTTGAGAAGGTGGGCATGTACATCCTTGAGGATTTCGCGCCGAGGACGGCTGCTGCTAAAGAGGTGGCGGCTTTGGCGTTCAAACCAAAGAATTCAAAGAGTGGACCTTCTGCAAAGAAGAAGGCCAATAAGTCATAATCTCTCGTGATGATGTGTTGCGAGTGGCCGAGGCGCTGCGCAGAGGCGTGGTGCTGGACGCTCGCGGCAGAGCCTGGCCGCAGAGGTGGTCAGCGCTGCGGGCGTTGCCTCGCTGTGCCCGCAGTGCCGCAGGAAGTCTATAACAAGTTATAGAAGCCTCGCTTGAAGCCTTGAGGGGGTTGAGCGCAGTGAAAAAATCCCCGCCTCGGACCGTGAACGTCCCAACGCCAGAGCGCGGGGGGGAGGGCGGGGGGCCTGCTGGCGGTGTCCCGCGCCGACCTGGCCGAGCGCTGGGAGTCCTCCTGCGGGCGGGGGAAGAAAAATGGCAAGCAGGCTTGCTCAGGGCTGGACCTAAACGTTGTTGTTCGTTTTGTCTTCGATTTGTTGTTCGTTCTGCTCTACCTGTTTTCCTGTACCTCCCTCCTGGAACGAAAAACAAAACACAGCCGAAGTCCAGCAACACAGCGTTGAGGTCCAGCCCTGGGCTTGCTATACCATCCCCGGAGACACTTGGGTTCGACGAAGGGGGGGGAGGTGAAAGGGGGGATCACAGTCAACCCGCATATGTAGTGAGGATGCGCGGTCGGCAAAAATGCAAGGGCCTTGGAGGGCCGTTCTTAACGTTTTTCGAACGAGGTTGGCCAGCAAAAGTCGCCAAGCATGGGCCGACTGGGGCAAGGGTGAAAGGGGTAGCCTGGGAAAGAGGTTCATCCTTACTACGCGAGTTGACTGTAGCGGATCAGTTCACGCAGCTGGTTGTCCAGGCGCCTCCTGGCGCCAGCGGCGCCCATGTCTCCAGGAGCGCGCCCGCCGACGGGGCCGAAACCAGCTGCACGCAACAATGCTCGTGCCCTCCTTTCCCTGTCTCTCCCGTGCGCCCGACCCGAGACAAAAACAAGACCCCCCCAGTTGCACCGTCGTGTCCTCCTCTGCGTGGCGTCGGGGTTGGGAATACAGTCAACCCGTATCAGAAGGACGCACGATAAGGATGCAAGGGCCTCGGAAGGCCGCTTCGAGGCTTTTCGAGCGGGGCGCGGCCAACGAAATTGGTCAAGGATGGACTGAGGAGGCAAGGATGCAAGGGTAACCTTGGGGAGGTTGCCCGTCCTTACTGTGCGGGTTGACTGTAGAACGTTCGAAAGGTGGCGGAAAGAATGACAAGCCGCTCCCTGGTGCAGCCGTCCATTGCAAGCTCTCTAGGGTCAGGGGATGGGCGTGGACCTTGCTGGAAGGAGCAGAGGAGGCACACCTCCGAGTGTCACTGCGAGGATGCACACCAAAACAATCGCGAGAAACCACTTGTCCCGGCCGTGAAGCCAGCCGGGACGTGCACATCTGTGGTCGAGCCCCAGTGGAGAACGTGCCGCGTGCCGCACCCAAACACAAGACAACAGGGCGCATGCACGTGCGAAGCAACGAACAAGACGTGCGGTCCTCCCCGGCCATGCCCTGCCCCCCTGACACGTCCGAGAACACACACGTCCAATGAAGACGCCTAAGAGACCATACGGATGAAAAGAAGGGGCTGGCGCTGCTGCTACGCATTCGACCATGACCCCTCCTACCCATCAGCCCTGGGCGGTCCTCGGACGGTCTTCGGCGGCTTCTGGCGGCCTTCGGCGCCAAAGCTGGACGTCTGTGTTTAACAAGGGGCCCGCGATCGAACTCCTTCAGTGCAATTCGCTAGCCTCCTCACTCCCGCTTTTCCTCTTGTGCCCGCGGGGCTCTGGCTGCAGGTGAACTCTGCAGCTCAGACTGGCTGAGCTGGGCAGGCAGGAAGGACAGGCGGTTCCCCAGCGATGGAGACGCCTGCTGAAAGGGTGCACCGGCTGCTGGTTCGATCCCGAGTCAGACTCAGCCCCCTCCCGATCATCACGAGACGGGTGCAGTGGGGTCAACGCTTCTTCGCGTCGAAGGGCGGCCGCCACCACATGGAGCTGAGCAGCGCGTGACACTGCGTCCACCGCCGCATCAGCTCGGAAGTCCTCCTCCGATGATGGCGGGGACGCGGGAGCCCTGGCAGGCAGAGGAGGCACCGATTCAGAGCTCCAAGCTCTAAAGGTACCATCTGAGCAGACTCGCACAAATGTCTTCCGAGGGTAGGGATGCCTGCCCTTCAAAATGTGGCTCCGTTTTGTCTCCTGGCGCGGCTGCATCACTCCCAGACAACGTTGATTGTACAGGTCGCATTTGATAGGAGCGCTGAAGGACAGAATGGACGCGCAGTGGACACGTACAAAACGAATGCTGCAAAGACCAACCTGCTTCAGATCTATATCCCCGGGTTGGCCACGGCAACCTCGAGAAGGGACACGATCTGGCTGTCTCGCCCCAGCTTGCAACATGCTGTGCATCTCCATCCTCGAGCGATCCAATGGAAACTGCAGAATATCCTGACCCTGATGCTCTTAGATGGTTGGGGCGTGTAAGCCACTTCGCCGTATTCCTTGGGAGACGGGAAACGGACGAACAACTTCATCGCAAGGATACCAGACGCTCGAACAAAACAGATGTGCTTACCAGTACGTTGTTGCAGTCCATGACTTGGCTATGGGTGTACAGCCGCTGCAGCTTTTGCACCTGTGTCTGCCAGATGGCTTCCTGTGCGCTGAAGAAGCTCCTCCTCGCTAAGTCCTTCCTCCTGCAAAGACTGGTGAGCTCTGGTCTTGGTGAGACTGGTTAAGCACTTTCGCACTTCATCATTCTGGGCTTGGACTGTGTGCCCTCTGGACTGCCGTTTGAGATGTGTTGCCCTCTCCTGAGGGTCAACAAACTGCTTAAGAGCACCTAGTCAGTCAGAGACGCACTCGCTGGGACGAGCAAGACAAATGATAATTCCAGTTCTTGCGCTGAACTCGGCACTCTGAGGCGATTGGGGCAGTGGTGCCCGTACAAGGCACTCCATCTCGCAAGCTAAAGCACGGCCGTGAAAGAGTGAGGAGCTCCACCCAATTCTCTTGAGCTTGCGGATGGGATGGGTGGTGCAGCTGCCGTTCATCATAGATGTCCCGCCGATATCCATGATATCATGCAGAGCATCAGCATGCCACGTGACCTACCAGGATCCTTCGAATAACGGGGGAGGGTGCTCATCACCAGGATGAGGGAAAACACCACGGGTCACCGCAAAAGGGAGGTTTCGATATGTAGTCCACGAACTGGTCAACTCCTTCGAAGCTCCCAAAGTCCACAAACTCATGTCTTTCGCCCTGCAGTCACGGGCATTTCCAATTCCGATGAAAAAACATACGCAGATGGGCAGCCACAATCCAGCGGCCAGTCTGGAGGGTAGTCGTATCCTTTCCCTCT